GCCTGTGGCACCGAGGGGACAGGCCGATCGGTTCCTAGGGGAAGGGGCTCGTCTTCTCTTGTGTCCCAGGACTATGCTGTGCCTTCACAGCTTCGGCCGCTGGGAGCAAACTGCCCTTTCCAGGAGTGATGGCCTCCGTCTCCCGAGCCCCAGGGCCCTGAGCACACGCTTGGTGTCCCAGGGGCCACTGGCCTGCAGTTCATACCAGCAAGTGGCTTGTGCTCCAAGCTCCGAACTGCAATTCCGAACATGAAGAACTCCATGCAGCATCTATATTCACACATGACCAATGGCACGCAGCTCTGCCCAGGATCCCTGCTCCACGCATGCCTCTCGTCCATCGTGTCAGCGTGTGCCCAACACGGTGTGATGGTGACCGCTTACACGTTACTAACCCCACCCATGTCAGATACAAAGACGTTTGATTCAGACTATCTGGCTCAAGCATGCAAGAAAATGTGCAAAGAAAGGAAAGTTGGCCAACTTGAATTTCCAAAACAACCAAAGAATGACATTTCCAGTGATTTTCAGAGCACCGAGGTTCGAGTGCCCAAAGATTAAAAATGTGCAGACATACTCCCTGTTGGGAACAGATTTAGTTCTTTTAAAGATAATGAAATAAAAATGATTTCCTTTAATAGTTCTTTGGAAAGACTACATGAATTACAGTTCGATGATTTATTCTGGCTACCATTGATTTGATCTGAGCCTTTTTTAAAAAACATCTACAAAGCCAGACAGAGCGGGCCGTGGCCCCAGCGGCCTCCCCATGAGCGCGGCCTGGTGAGGCGGGTGCGCTGGCTGGGGACCAGCTGGTTCATGCGAAGGGACAGGCTCCCTCCAGTGGGGACAGACGGGAACACATCCGACTCCTTCCCTTGAGGATGACAGGATTTCCATTTCTGAGCACCAACTCTTGGTTTTTGGCTTAGAGTCTCACTCCAAAAGCTGCACTTTGTGACGTCCAGTTTACCAAGGCTCCATCCAGCAACCTATGAATCTTTCTGGCAGTTTACGTGTGTCTCCTCTGTGATCTCTTTTTCCCCATCATGACTCTCTTCATTGTTAAATCCATTGAGCGAACAAGTGTTTATCAATGCCTGCCTCGCGTCGGGCGTGGCTCCAGGCACTGGGGACACAGCACAGCGTGAACAAAATGATTCAAAACCTTGTCACAAGGAGCTTAAAACACCATCAGACACGTGGACTGCGTGCGAGTGATTGTGGTTATCATTTAACCGGATCCTCCCTCCACCCTGCCAGCAACCTGAGAAGCGGAGAAACTGGCCGGATCCCACAGGGGGCCCAGGGGACACCACCCCCAGACAGCTGCCCGGAGAGCCGGACCCCACAGCTCTGAAGCCGGCAGCTCTGCGTGGTGTTTTTTCACTTGCCCGTCTCCTCTGGCGACACGCGTGCACCGTGAGAGGGGCTGTGTCTGCTTGTCCCTGCTGTACCCGTACCCAGCACGGGAGGCCGGGCCTGGGGACGCTCCACAGTCACTCGCCTAAATGCTCATGAGCAGGAATCAGTGAGAGATCACTGAGGGCAGGACTCACTGCCTCCAGCCCCTCCTCACCCATGTGTCCTGCTCTCAAGTCCTCTCCACTTTCTTACGGAGCGAGGGAAGGAATCGGAGTCTAAAATGACAAGATCTGAATCGTCAGAGGGTTCGCGATCTTTAACAGACTCGTGCTTGCCACCTCTGCTGATACAGCTGGAGGCGGCGGAGGAGAAAGCCACCTCCCCTGGCACGTCACGCGTGGCGGAGAGCGTCACGCATGGAGGAGAGCATCACACGTGGCAGAGAGCGTCACACATGGAGGAGAGCATCACACATGGAGGAGAGCGTCACGTGTGGCGGAGAGCATCACACATGGAGGAGAGCATCACACATGGAGGAGAGCGTCACGCATGGAGGAGAGCATCACACGTGGCGGAGAGCATCACGCATGGCAGAGAGCGTCACACATGGAGGAGAGCATCACGTGTGGCGGAGAGCGTCACACATGGAGGAGAGCGTCACACATGGAGGAGAGCGTCACACATGGAGGAGAGCGTCACGCGTGGCGGAGAGCAGTGGGCTCGGCTGCAGATGGAGCCTAATGCCTGTGGAAAGGGCCATCCCTGCGGTGTTATCTGGTGAATTACTTTATAGCAGTTGCTCCCTCAGTGTCGCATACCCTGTGCCACCAGCCACTCAGCCCGGCTCAGAGCCTGGCAGCCGCCACTCATACCCAAGGGCCCATGTGTGTGAGCGGCGTGAGCGGCGTGAGCGCCTCGGCCTGAGTCACCGGAGGATCGGTAAACACTGGAGGAGCGATCCTGCCAGGGGAAGTGCTGTCGGCTGGAGCAGTTTGCTCAGTGGTTTCACAGCCAGGGGCCACTGGGTCACGTGGCAGGACCGGCCCAGGGCTGGGCGAGCAGGAAGCACCAGGCCCAGAACAGCCGCAGGCCCGCGTCTGCTGCTTGCGCGGGCGGTAAAACACACCGCACTGCGAGGAGGTGTCCTCCCTCCCGGGTGCCTGCCTCTACAGGGGCGAGCTTCCAGGGGACCCCACACCGCTGGCCTCGCCCCCACACTGTTTCTCCCGCAGTCGGGTGGCTTAGGGTTCATAACCCCATCTTATCTGAGAGGTCGAGAGGCCGGTTCCTGGAGGAGTGAACTTGCTCTTGGTCACTATTTTCCGCTTATTTCATACCCGCCGAGCTCCCCGGGGAACCCTCCCGGGTGGACGGCCACACTGGGAAGACCTTCCCGGGAGGAGCTTTATCTCCATCCGCTCCTTCCGCCTCCTGCAGTGACCCCTTCGACAGTGTCCGCTGCCACTCTGGGGGGACCCTCCGGGCTGACCAGTCCTCCCTTCCTGAAACCTTGGTGTCCTCCGGCACCTCTGCCTGGACACGCCCCCTCTCACCCCCCTCCTGCTGGGAGCTCAGCAAGGCCAAGGTGAGCTCCTCCCCACCTGCTCCGCTCTCCCTAACTCGGCCCAAGTCCTGAGGAGGACGCCCTCCCTGGGCTTGGACCTGTCCTCCCCGGGGCCGCTGCTCACGGCCACACGGCCCACGGGGGTGGCCATGGTTAGGAAAAGGCTGCAGCCTCGGATTCTAACGCGAACGCTGAGCACATTGCTGTGGCAAGTCCTCATGCAATCTGGACTCAGTTCTCTAAAAGTGAGTGGGGCTCAACTTTTTCAAGTTCAACTGAGCTCTATGCTAACTGCAGGCCCAGGAAGCGCTGGCCCTGTTAGCTCTAAGCACACAGCGTCTGCTCTTTGCACCCGGGACCGCCAGGCCTCGCAGCGAAGCGCTGGCCCTGTTAGCTTAGTGAGGGCCCAGCAGGTGTGGAGCACGCCCTGCTCACACCTGTGTCAGAGCCGATGCCAGGCTGCGTCACCTGACGGCTCACACCTGGGTCTCCCAGAGCTTCCTCCTGGGAGTGACCAGTGACCCGAGAGGGAAGTCTGGTTGCCGGGCAGACGCACAGGTGCAGCGCCGGGCTCAGCCCTTCTCAGGAGTGTTGGCTGTGGGCAGACAGACGGACAGCGAGGGCATCTTCCCTCCTTGAAAGTCACCCAGACAACCTACGGACCCCTCACTCCCCTAATCCTGGGAATCGCTCTCACGCGCCCAAAAATTAATTCCTTCGTGGGGACAGCTAGCGAGGAACAGGAGCAAGGCAGGGATGGAGGTGGGAAGGTTTGGGTGGGCAGGGCAGGGCCCTCAGATGTCCACATCACGGCTTCCCAGGCCAGCCCTCAGCTGGTACCAGTGCATGCGTCTGATGAAGGGTCACGGAAAGTAGTGCTTTTTGATAGAAAAATTTAAAAATCATTCACTGATCAACACAAGTGCTTGCATGACCGCATTCATATACTTTTATCATTTTCCTCACGTCTCACCACCGCACCTCGCCTTATAACCAGCCCCCAGGAAACGTGAGCAGGACGTCGGGAATGGCTCTGTGAACGGCTGGTTACTTGACAGGGACACTGGACTCCACTGGAGGCATTCTCAAGTATTACAAGGCCCACACTTGGTTTGTTTGTGGTTAATGAACCCTGAAAGCTAGAGCTGCACGATGCTGAAGTCTAGGCCACAGGACATCAGTACCTATGGCTTTGCCGAAGGGAAATAAGTTGACCCACAATGCAGCGTATTTCATTCATGAAAAACTACCCTGGCTCTGGTGCTATATTATTAAACTCGAATACTGGCCAATGAGGTTATTTGAAGGAAAAATAAAATGTTTTCAGTAATGAAAATGCTAATGTATAAGATGATCCCTATGTGTCGTTTGCCATCTAGTGGTCATTTGTGGAAATAAAAAGGCCGCTACAATCTTTCAAATCGGGCTCTCACCCATCCACAAAGGGATGACGCACAACCACATTTCAGTGTTAAGACGCCCAATCTCACCATGAAGCCCTCCGAGGCGGTGGTGGTGGCGAGGGCGAGTCGCTGAGGCGGCCATTCCTGAGAAAGCAGGAGAGTGTAGCAACCGGTGCTCACTCCTGGCCACCCACAGAGTCCCCGGGCCCCTTACCAAAGGGCAGCCGGCCAGGCCACAGCGCAGACCAAGTAAACCGGATTCCCTCAGGTGGGACCAAGCAATGCCTGTTCAAAAGCCCCAGGCGGCTCTCCTGGCAGCCAGGTGAGGACCGCTGGGCAGGGTCAGACTGTGGGCTCCAGCTGTCTCGCTCTCTACTGAGTTTCACCGCTCGTTACCTTGAGCAGGGAAAGCGGGCTCATTAATACCACCCACGTGCCTCGTAAAACGAGGACAACAGCTCTCCTGACTACTGTGGGATTAAATAGGGTCACGGTGTCAAGTGCTACACGTGCCTGCTATAGTGCTCGACAAATGCTAAATATTAAGGCTATTTCTTATTTTTAAAATGTATTATGAGTTATTAAAAGAAATAAACAAAAAGGTAGTTTAAACTATAAACCTTAATAAAAATTTCAATTACACGTTTTATTTAAAATGTTATTCATGATTGTCTTAATTAAAATATATTTATTTGCAAGAATACAGTATGAGATATTTTACTGCACGTGGACAGCAGCACAAATGCACAATGATAACACTCAAGTCTGGTACCACACAGTTTAATGTGAGACGCGCACAATAAAATAGCCCTGCCCTGAACACTGCCGTTCCCTCAAACACCAGGCTCGCATAAGCAATAACTAAACTTAATAGTCTGTTCACATGCCAATAAACAATAAATAAATCTTTAAAAGCATCTATGAACTGAAGCAATTTTCTTTTTGAGTTTCATAAACCAAAGACCTTAAGGAATATTTAAAGGCTGAATAGAAACCGGTCGAAACGAAATGAAACGAGTCTAAGAAGGACCAAGCAGCTCAACATTATCAACTCCATCTATCTGCCCGTCCAGTCTCCGCTGCTCACCCGGGTCTCTGTGAGCACAGGGAGCCACGGCACATGGAAGGCGGGTCCCGGCGATACATTCGCTGCGGAAATGCCCACACCTGGCGGGGTGGCAATGGGAACGTGTGGAATGAAATGCTAATAGGAATGGTAATGTGAAATGTAAAGGGTGGCTAGATAATTCTCACTTCAAAACCTGAAGTGATAACACAGAACGGTGAGCTCTTCACTTATGTATCTGCTATAACCAGGACCTGCTCCCTCCAGAAGCCTCGTGGTTGCAATGCTTTACTTTAGACTGCCGAGCGCCTGACAGGGGCTGTGCCAGGTGCTAGCTGCGCACCGATGCACAAAGCAAGGCTCTCTGCAAAGACCGAAGCCAGGCCAGGCAGTACTCCTCACACTTCTTACAAACTCAATGAAATGTGGCTTTTCAACCTAAAATTATTTTCAATATAAATTCTTTTCCAAAAGGTTGACTTTGTAATTAAGAATGTTTAGGTACATCAGTGGCAAGTCAAAATTCCAGAGGCTCATACAGACTCGGAAACTGAATGCTCACTACTTTGTCTCATCAGCTGCCGAAAGGTACATTCTTACACACAGAATTTTAAAACAATGAAACAACATTTCAACTATTCGTGCCTACCGAGTCCTAGTAAAATATGGAACAAGTGGCAATTTTTAAATCTGGACATCAAGACAATTTAAGCCAATCAGATTACAGGACTGAAATGATGTCCTAAATTTTGTGACACCATCAGTGTCAGCAAATCTGGGCGAGCAGCCACCGTGGCCGAGTGCGAGGCGGTGAGGCTCAGTCTTCGTCGTCTCTTTGAAAGGGCACGACCAGGATTTCTCTGGCTATTCTCTCCGCTAAGGTTTTACTGCCCGCAGCAATGATTCTCCGCGACATCAAATCGAACGGTCCCCCTGAAATCAATCAAACAAGGAAGACAGTTACGTCTCGTACCAAAACCACTCCTACAGAACTCGTCTGGTGACAGGCACTACGCCAATCGTAACATTTTAATACTTCCAGTCATCTTTTCAAAAAGCTATTCTGTCACATGACCATACTGGTTAAGCTCTGGCAATACACAAATGAGTTTCTAGGCATCTTATTTTAATACGAGTTTGGGGGGGGGTCCTCAATCATACCAGTCTGAACCTGTCACCTTTTTCTATTCTCCGAGTCACTGTTATACTCTGACTGCCTCTGTAACGCCTGGGCGTCCGTGGGCAGGGAATCCCCTCCCACTTCCTGACTTCTCCGTTGCCCTTCTCAGACACTGGAGAATTTTAACCCAGGTTCGCCCGACTTTTAAAAACGTCACCACAGTTTGAAGCAGTGAACCCTTCCAGCCCGAGGCAGAAAGTGACGGAGGCGGAGGTCCATCATCAGCTGCCACTCGCTCGCCATCCAAAGAGCTGCTGGCACAACCCTCAGGCCCGCGGACCCGCCAGACTTTCCCCAGCCTCTCCAGAGCTCCTGCTCCTCACGTCTGAAGAGGCTTAGCCACGTAGCGTGAGCAACCCCACACTACCCTCAGCCTCTTCTCCTCGCCTCTACCGCAATGTCTATCTGGAATTCGCAGACCGTTCCATGGCTTGTTTTGTCTTTAAGAGCTCAGGTAGCAACACAGCACACACTGGAAGACCAAAGTCCAACAGATGGGGCAGGAAGATGCTTTCCCGCCGCATCCGCTACCTGTCACGTCCATCAGCACCCCACCGGCCTCGGTGACGATGACGCCCGCTCCTGCCATGTCCCAGCAGTGGATGCCCATCTCGTAATACGCATCCGCAGCTCCGCTGGCCACCAGGCACATGTTGACAGCCGCCGTCCCGACTCCTCGGATCCTAGCAGACAGCATTGAGAAAGGAGATTGGAAAAGGAGTTCTTTCAAATGAGGTCCTCCTTGGCGTCAGTTCATTTTCAGTGTCGACTGAGACCATCTGAACCCGTCTAGAGGACACATACCTAATTTTAAATTAAATAAAAATACATAAAAACCTAATTACCATGGTGCACCATAGAAATGACCACTCCCACAAAGTAATTTAATAAGATAAACATTACAGCCATGACATCTTCAGGGGAAAAGGCTGAAGAAAATACTAAATTCCACTACATGCATGGGTGAGAGTATAACCACATTTGTTGAAACCCAGTAAAGGACTGACCACCTTTGTATCACAAAGATTTGACTCAGCTGCTAATAAGTGTGTTGGAACTTTTGTGGCTGATAAAGTCTCTCCCAAAAAAACCAACAATGAAATGGAAGAAAACTGAAATTGACATCAATCCAATCTCAATGAAACATCTCAAAGAAGTAGCTGTAAACATAGACTTTAAATCAGAAATACAAAACCTACACACAGAAAAGGGGGAACAAAGCCCAGGAGGAAATAAAATGAGATGACTGAGCCCAGAGAAGTGGTGGGCAAACAAGACACATGACATCGAGGAAGACTGCAATTCAGGGAGCCCCTAACCAAGCCGCTGCGAGTGAAAACCGAATCAAGGCCCCAAGGAAAAGCAGGAAAAAACACGAGTAAAAGGGTCAGAGAGAAAGTGGCTGAAATGGAGGACACGGATCTCGCCTATTGGTGTCTGAAGAAGAAAATAAAAACAGACCTGAGCTAATATTTAAAACTGTAACTCAAGAAAGCTTGAAAAAAAAGACACAAATCCACACTGAAGTAGAAAACTCCCCCAGGTGTGAAATTCCAAAACAGATCCTTGTAAAACAACCAGACCTCAAAAGTGAGAAGGAAAACAGAATCTCAACGGCTCCATGTAAATCAAGAAATAGTTTAAATGCCAAGAAAATCAGGCTGGCACCAAATTCCTCAAAAACAACATGCAAAGCACAGGTGGCTGAAGAGGCAGGACAGCCCAAGGCCACGCCCAGCCGGCACCTGGATCCCCCACGGAGGACAGGACACTGCAAAGGATGGATGTCATTGGATCCCCGGACCACAGCAAACGTGGACGGCAGATTAGAGAACAAGAACGTTTAGAAAGTCAGCAACGCACTGTGGCACGGGAGAGAATATCCCTGCTCGTAGGAAGTAACAAGCTGAAGTATTTAGGGATAAAGACCTATGCTGTAAGTAATTTACCTTAAGACTGTTCAGGGGGAAAAGGTGTGTGTAAAGGGTAAAACACACGGGGTAACATATTGATAGGTGAACTGGGCAAAGGATATATTGTTGTCTTTTTGCATTATTTTATTTCTGCAAATTTTGTTAAGTTTTAAATTATTTTCAAATAAAAGTTTTTCAAGTTGAATTAGAAAATTAGAATTATGGTACTGATCCCATGTCCAGTATGAACATTTCACAGCTACGAGGAAATCGCCGAATGCCCGTGGCCACGGGCACAGCCTACCTACCCGTGGATGGGGAGGCAGAGCAGCTTCTCCATGTTGGCGAGGACGGTCCGCACGGTCTCCGGCGTCCGGGAGGAGCCCAGCTCTGTCACCAGGAGTGCCTTGGTGACATCTAAAGGGAAATGACTTCAAAAATCACTCGTTTAGAAATTTGAAAAAAAAAAAATCACTCATTTAATGATAAGAATTCTGATAAAAAAAATTAACACTTGTGATTCAGAGCAAAACAGGACATTCTTAGCCCTCTTCCTAGTTGTATCAAATCTGTTTACTTCTAAGGCTTTAAATATTAAAATAAGGATACATTTGTTATACCTCAGTGGTCATTTTATAAGAGTCTAGCTTTTTAGACCATCCCCCCCAAAATGCAGAATATAACCAACTTACCTGCTTACATAATAGCTTTAGTGGGAAATAAGCAAATACCTTAAATATTTAATCACATGGTCTAATTAAACACTGTGTAGAGCAGAATAATTATAGAGAGGGGGAGAGTTGCTGGTAGGAAAGCGACCACTCCTTCAATTCTGAGATGCACATTTTTCACGCAGTAACGTCTTGACAATCGGGTCTTAGAGTTCAATAAAAAGATAATGAAATAAATGCTCTCGAATTAAGTGTTTAAGGAGAAAACTTATAACAGTGTGGGAGGATTCTGAATTTAGATGGTTTTGCAAGTATCTTTAAGTTCTTGGTGCACTTAAAAATCTGATGTGTATGCCCTAAGCCAGTGGTCGGCAAACTCATTAGTCAACAGAGCCAAATATCAACAGTACAACGATTGAAATTTCTTTTGAGAGCCAAATTTTTTAAACTTAAACTATATAGGTAGGTACATTGTTATTAACTTAATTAGGGTACTCCTAAGGCTTAGGAAGAGCCACACCCAAGGGGCCAAAGAGCCGCATGTGGTTCGCAAGCCGCAGTTTGCTGACCACGGCCCTAAGCGATTTGGCTCAGTGGATAGAGCGTCGGCCTGCGGACTGAAGGGTCCCAGGTTTGATTCCGGTCAAGGGCATGTACCTTGGTTGCGGGCACATCCCCAGTAGGGGGTGTGCAGGAGGCAGCTGATCTATATTTCTCTCTCATCAAAGTTTCTAACTCTCTCTCCCTCTCCCTTCCTCTCTATAAAAAAAATCAATAAAATATATTTTTAAGAAAATCTGATGTGCAAACTGAAAAAAAGCTGGGCGTGGCTTATGGGGGAAAGGTCCTCAAACCCTCTCAGCTGTCATGCAGAGAGAAGGCTTAACTGTCAATCATCCAGCTCTTACTAAATGTGCACGCGCCAGTTTTAGTGATTCCTAAATTTAACACACTTTCCCTGATTTACTGCCTAATAAATGGTACCAACGCTATCAGCTCAGAGCGAGTCTACAAAGAATCCTGGAGGCAGCGGCTGCAGTAAAGCGCCATAAACTCCGTCCCCAGCCCCGAGGGATGTCCCGAAGTGTGTCTGCTCAATTCCACCAGCTTCCCCGCTTCCACCATCACATTCAAACTCCAGTGGGAGCAAACAGCAGAGAAAATACACACCATTTATGAGTCAGTTAACACTCAAAACCACAGAAGAGGAGCGGATGCTAGCGCCGCCCCCACGGTGAGCCTACCTTCCTGCCCGGAGACCTGCAGCTTCTGGCCGTTACAGAAGGCGCCCCTGCCCCTCCTGCCCGTGTACATCTTGTCCTCCACGCAGCTGTACACAACTCCAAACTCCATCTGCAGGCGGAAACCTGGGTGTTGGTGACGCTCACCCTCAGCAACAGGGAAGTCCGGCACACGGACAGATGTTTGCAAATGGCCACACGGGGGACACTGAGAAGGCCGAGTTCTAGCTCAGTGATGGCGAACCTTTTGAGCTCGGCGTGTCAGCATTTTGGAAAACCCTAACTTAACTCTGGTGCCATGTCACATATAGAAATTTTTTGATATTTGCAACCAGAGTGAAACAAAGACTTATATTTTTTATATTTATTTTATATATTTAAATGCCATTTAACAAAGAAAAATCAACCAAAAAAATGAGTTCGCGTGTCACCTCTGACACGCGTGTCATAGGTTCGCCATCACTGTCTAGCTTCATCGGAGGGAAGCGGTCCCAGCATCTAGAACCCTCACAGCGCCCCTGTGGCCCCCCTCCCTCTCGCCCAGAGGACAGACCTGCCTATCTTCCAGGGCCAATCCTTCCTCCTGTGTGGCTGCTCTCCCTCCTACTGCTCCCTGCTGCTCCCTCCTCTGGAATATCGATTCTGCTTCCTCTTCACCAAGCTCTCCCTCCCTACAAAACCTTTAAAATGTTCATCCTTTCCCCTTCCCTGCCAAAGAGCCGTCTATACTCCGCCTCTCCCCTTCCCGTCACACACTACAGTTTGGCCTCTGCCCTGACCACGCATTCTTCTGAAACCCCCGCAGAGAGACGGTTATGAACTCCACGGGCCGCCTGCCTTCTCCGAGGCGGAGCCAGGAAATCCGGAGGCTGCGCGCTTCCCCAGGACTCAGGCCCCACCTCACTCACTAACCAGTGGGCGTGTCACTTCTCTTAGGACCTTCTTCTCTGCTTAACCTTTGGAAGTTGTGTACATCAGCGTTTTCCATTCTCCGTCCCTTTTAGCTCTCCCCTGTCCTACAGCCCACAAATCAACTACCACTGGCACTGGCTCCATCAACTCCACCATCACAGTAAGACCCTCTCCTAGGAACCGCAGCCAAAGAGGCCACACTCACCACCTGATCACACCTCCATCCTTCCCCATTCTCCTTCAAAAAATATGTTTTTAATCCTGAGATTTTTTTTTCTTTATAGAGTGGAAGGGAGGAAGGGAAGGAGGGGGGGAAAGGGGAGAGAGGCCGATGTGACAGACATGCTGATTGGCTGTCTTCCATACATGCCCCAACTGGTACATGCCCTGGGCCAGGAATGAAACCCCAGACCCTGTGGTGCTGGGGCCGACGCTCTAACCACTGAGAACACTGGCCAGGGCTCCTCCTTCAGATTCTGTCCTGAGAACACTTCCTGGTTTTGGCATTTCCTCAGCTATTCTCACTGCACTGTCTTAGTTCAGAATCCCGACACGGCTGCAAACACCTGTAACTCTGCACTTAGAAACCACTCCTGACCCCCCACCCCCACCCCCAAACCAAACCTCAATGCTGTGGTGCAGACAGGCCACAGCCGCACAGACCTCCACAGCCAGCTTCTCCCTGGACCTTCCCGGCCACGCCCAGGGCTTCACACAGCCCCTCACAGCTCCCCGACACCAGGCTCTTCTCCAAGCTGTTCTTTCTGAGGGAAACGCATTCCTTTTCTTCATTTTCCAAGGCCCAAACCACTCCATCAAATTTAAGACCCTTCTGTTAGGAATCTCCTCAGACCCCTCCTGGCAAATGCCTGAACTCACTCACACTCTCGCGGTAGGTTTTCAGCATCCACCACAGGATCCCATCTGTCCCACATCTAACCGGCGCTGACTGGGGGTCGAGGGCGGGACCGCACACCGTGCAGGGTGAGCTCGCTCGATCGGCTCCTTCGCACGTTCCCACGGCTCACAGCCCCGTGGCTAATTTCATGTGCACTAACTTGTGTTTTCATTTCCAGCGACTCTAACTCTCTTGTGTCCATGCTGTCAATACATCACAAGCCCCGTGAAGACAGGTCCACAAATGAGAGGAACATCACTCACTGTTTATCAATAAGCAGCCACGCAGCGTGGCAATGCCCGAGCTATACTCTCTCTGCTGGGCCTGCACACAGCGGCTTCGGGTTCGACACTCTGCTCTTCCACCCGGGCCCGGGCCTTTCACCGACACCCACGGAAGCGTGCTAGCTCGAATCCCACTCTCCCTGTAACCACCTGACTCTCTCATATGCAGTGGTGACTACATCAGTGTGTGTATTTCTTCCTTAAAACTCCTGCTGCTCTAAAAACATTAAGTGTTCTTCACTGGAAAAAGTACCATGATAATGTTAACCCTCCTATAGCTTATTTCACAACAATGCAGCCGTATAAAGTGAATAGAGACAAACCTGTACGTACTATGGAGACAGTTACTCTTTCTCAGAAAGGACAGCAAGGCATGTTACCAGCCATAATTAAACGGCGTACCTCTTTATTGACAACAAAGCCGATGGAAACAGCCACAAAAGGAAATCTTAAAAAAAAAACACACACACACATACAAATTTACCAAGATAGGACTTATTTTCAATAAATACGTTTTTCACAATATCACTGCTTATAACATTTTTCACATAAAGTCTCATTCTGCTGCCCTACAGTGGTGTGTACAGTATGCAACCTTTCGTGTACATGGGCTGGGGCTCGGGGACACAGATGCAGACGCACAGGGGACTCCTGCGGCAGCGAGCAGCTCTGAGAGGAGGCACCTCCAGAGACAGGCCTGAGAAACTGGGGACAGAAATGGGAAGGCCACTTCGCTCTGCACGCCATTTCATATCTTTTGAATGTCGAATACCACAAACATAGTAATGATGTATGATATTTTTTCAAAAAATAAAAACAAAAAAAAATTTTAAGAGACTACATTGACTACAGCTAAAAGTCTCTTTTCTGTGGTCACTTCTCCCCCAGCCTGGACCTGTAAACACAGGCGTGACCGGCACAGAATACACTGTTACTTGTCTCCCTCGAACCCCATCCAGAGCCTCACACCTGCAAGGTGACTGGTAGCCACATGGTTGCTATGGCTTCATGGCAGTCTGACGACAGGGGTGGTAATTTCTGACTCAGAAGAGAACCAAGATAAAGAAAAGACAAAATGGGTTCAATATAACTATAATAATAAAAGCATAATATGCTAATTAGACCGGACGACCTTCCGGATGAAGCTAGGGCTGGGAGGGCCGAGCCCCTTGCACAAATTTTGTGCATCAGGCCTCTAGTTAAAAATAAAAATTTTTAGAAATATATAATAGCTTTTATTTTAACAAAAATGAGACCATTCTATACACACTGCATTATAATCTTCTCTCGGTTACAACATCCCAGAGGCATCCTTCCACATCCCTATCCATCACCTACAGAGTCTAGGTCTTGGTTTACAATATAAACAATTCTGTGCCCCTACAGGTATGCACAGCCACAGGGCAACTCCCTGATCCCACCCAGCGAGGCTGCTCATATTCGCTCACCGGCAACGGGCTCTCTCCCATGCACGCCCTGTGTGCTGCCCTGTGTGCCAGGCCCTGTGTGTGAGGCCTTTTTTGCTGCCCTGTGTGCCGACCCTGTGTGCCAGGCCTGTGTCCCGGGCCCTGTACAGCATCCTTACATCTGTGTACCACTCATCAAGTCCCCACAGTTCCACGAGGCAGGCACCAATAATATGTTCATTTCGCAGATAAGAAGAAAACAGCATCTGAGGCTTAGAAAGGTAAAGGAACTTGCCCAGGTCGAAAAGCCTATATAAAGCACCTGCTCAAGCCCAAGAGTGCTGACCCTAAAACCCACGCTCTTTCTAAGCTTCCTCGCCCGGGCTGAAGGTGGCACCGACAGCACTGCAGTGGGGCTGCAGAGCTCCCTAGCTGATCTCAGAGCAGCACGGTGCTGGCTTATATTGCACTTGCTCTCTCGGTGGGAAAAGAAGTGAGCAGACCGCTGGGTCGCACAAGTCCCACCAGCACTATTTCATCACTGCTGCTATACGTGATGAAAAGTCTCCTTACAAATTACACGATTACAGCTTACAAATTACAGCTTACAAATTACACGATTCTCTAAAGTATGAATGTTCGTGAACCGAGCACTTGAAAGGTCCCCTCAGTGCAAACACCCGCTCGTACCTATGCACAAAGTTAGTTGTTCCGTCAATGGGGTCGATGATCCACGTGGGGTTGTCAGTGAGGACACTTTTCTCCCCGGCGGCCACGGATTCCTCACCGATGAAACTAAAAGCAAGAATGACTCTTTATACCAATTTCCACAAGTTCCAGGTTTAACATTCCCTTAGCTACCGTCACAGCAAACATATAAGCCTACACAGCACTCTTTCATCCCAGCCTCCTTCCTCCCGAGGGATGGAGTGGGCAAGCTTCACTTCCCAGGTCACCCGACAAGCGGTACTGGAACCTGCAATGCGGGGCCGGGTGAGCGAAGGCGCAGGCGTGCACAGGGCGCTGGTACAGGTGAGGACTTACTAGGGCACGTGGTGGTTTTAAAAAGACGCCCTCAGGTCTCTCATCCTCCTCTCTTCCAGAGGCAGGCTTAACGCTCGCGCCTCGAGTGTGAACTTGGACTTAGTGACTCATTTCTAAGCAACAGAATGAAGCAGAAGTGCCCATGTGCCACCCTGAGGACCCGCTCACAGCACGCACTGTGGTTCGTCTTACCCACTCTACTCCCCGTCCCTGCCATGCCCGGGGAAGCAGGCCACCCGTGCTCAGCTGCTCTGAGGGGGGCCACGTGGCGAGGAACCGAAGGGAGCTGCCCGCAGACCTCGGGAGGCAGGGAAGTCACCCACAACTACCCAAGTGAATGGATCTTGCGGCCCAGTGCAGGCCTCAGGCGGCTCCGACCCACGGATTCCCAAGTGTCATGAGACCCTGCGCTCAGCTACTGCCATATTCTTGAACCTAGAAAACTCTGATATAAATGTTTGTTGTCTAGAGCTGCTGATGTTTAGGTAATTTGCTTTGGAGCAATAGATAAGTAAAACAGAACATGAGATAAGTCAGCAAGAAGGCAAGTCGCCCACCAAAAGTACCTGTCTTCCCCAAACACGCTGTGCGACAAATCTCAGGGGATTCCGGAAGTGGAGCCCGAGCTCACTGCTGTCGCTCTTCCCTACTTTCATTTTTATCTTTTCCCTTTATCCAGCAATGAGCTCTCCTAACCATCACTTCATGATCTTCTGTCTCTTAGCTGCACAGCGCGTTTTGAGAGGAAGTGTACAGGCTTTAACACGCACGACCGGGAAGAGGCAGAGAACGACAGCACTAAGACGTAAAGTGGTGACAGTCCCTGCTCTGGCTGTGCCTGCGAGAGCCCTCACTCCGGTGGTTCCTTTCAGGTCCCCAAAGCTACCACGCAGAAGAGTCTGCGACAGAGAACAAAACTGACCTAACTCATGCCTGTGGCAGACCTTTCTCACATCAGCATCCCTGCACCCAAACACCCCCCCTATCCCTCCTGGCTGGTGGCCCTGCCCAGGACCTGTAATCGTAAGCGACTGGGAAATCAGAGTCAAGAGCGAGGCAACCGGTGCCTCAGCAGCCGTGGCTCCTGTGGGGGGTCCAGGTCCCCCTTCCTCCCTGGCTCCTGCCCGACCTCCCTCCCAAGGCTGCCCGCCCGCCACCCTCCGGAGGCACTCCCTTCCAGGTTTAGGGAACTACTGTCAACTTCTGTCTAGTCGGCACTACTGCCTCAGGTACTGACTCTAAGCAGGTCCGTTTCTATCACTTGGAGTGGCAGTGAGATGCACCTGTGTGACGGGTACTTTTCCTTTATGAAAGAGAGAAGCATCTTTTCAACCTTCTGGTCAGTCGCAGTTACCAAGTCGGCTGGAGAACTTTTAATCATCACGTTCATTTCATTTTTCAAAGCTTCACGAACCACCTGGAAATTTGTTTGGTACACAAATAGAAAAGTGTAAATCAAGCTAAAAATGAAACAGAGAAATGGTGTATGACATTCAGTCTGTCTTAAATGATATTCTTAAAATTTTCTTATCACAAGGTTTACAAAATAAACCTTTAGTGGTTATGTCCTTCTAGGTACAAAATCATAGCATCTTACATCCCATTTTAGATCCACAACTGTCATCCCCAAAAGTTAATGGCACCAAAATCGAGTATTCTTTTCATGTACAGTGTTTAGTGAAATGAAAAACAACGCAGGTACTTAACCCGCGGCATCGGGGACATGGCGGCATCGGGGACATGGCGGCATTGGGGACATGGCGGCATCGGGGACATGGCGGCATCGGGGACATGGCGGCATTGGTGAGTGATGGCATCGGGGACATGGCGGCATTGGTGAGTGATGGCATTGGGAACATGGCGGCATTGGTGAGTGCGGCATCGGGGACATGGCGGCATTGGTGAGTGATGGCATTGGGAACATGGCGGCATTGGTGAGTGCGGCATCGGGGACATGGCGGCATTGGTGAGTGATGGCATTGGGAACATGGCGGCATTGGTGAGTGCGGCATCGGGGACATGGCGGCATTGGTGAGTGACGGCATCGGGGACATGGCGGCATTGGGGACATGGCGGCATCGGGGACATGGCATTGGTGAGTGATGGCACTGGGGACGTGGTGGCATTGGTGAGTGCGGCATCGGGACATGGCGGCATTGGTGAGTGATGGCATTGGGAACATGGCGGCATTGGTGAGTGCGGCATCGGGGACATGGCGGCATTGGTGAGTGCGGCATCGGGGACATGGCGGCATTGGTGAGTGGCGGCATCAGGACGCGATAGCAGCCGTACCTCTCCAGCTCGCCGTGCCAGGGTCACGGCGTAGTCCATGCACTCCTCCCAGGGGTCAGCCATCTTCGAACAGGTCTAACGCATATCAGGACAGAGCTGTGCCGAATCTCTGAGTCTAAACCACAGAACAAGTAGTTCGCAAGTGCATCTCAATTAGCAACGTCCTTTCATTCAGGATTCTCTCCCCTCCTGAATCTTGAGTGCCATTTTTTTCTAAGACTCACTGGTAGATCCAGTAAAACACACACACACACACACACACACACACACACACACACAAACCATTTTTACCTAAATGACTCCACTTCTGTTGAAACATTCTTCATAACAAAAAATACTCTACAAAAGTGTCTCCCAAAGTGCCCATATCTTGTCACATTAAAACAACCCTGGCTTGGAAAATGGAGGAGAAAGGACTCAGGGACATTTTCAAAGATAGGGGTTCAGAACAAGTCCCCTCAATGTGCACTCTGCACGTGGATCACTTTGAGCTGAAGGCATCAAGGCCCACAGACCAGGGAGCTCCCACCACCCCTCACCCGCCAGTGTTGCTTCGTTTGGGAGGCAGCGGTGCAGTTCAGCTCAGAGACCGGTCTGGTCTCTGCTAGCACAGGGGGTCGCTGAGGGAGCGCCACACGCCAAGAGCACGCAGGACGATCTCTCTTCACAAGCCAAAGAAAGAAATGACACCCTCCAAGCAGACGACAGATGAGCCTCACTAGTGATCCCAGCCAGGAGGGCGGGAGGAATGGCGTCCCAACTTGGACAGAGGTGTATCTCTTATACCAGGAGGAGGCCCTCGGCAGACCCGGAGCGAAAATTCCAGGACTAAAAGTAATAATAAAGCAAAAAGGAAACTTCTCTCCCTGAGTTTCAGAGGAAAAACACACAACATATTTGCTGCCCAGCTGTCCACTGACGCTGCAGAGAGGACTAGAGCCACCCGCCCAGGCAGGGTGAGCTGTGCAGTCTGTGCCCTGGGCAGGGAGGCCTTCAAGCTCAGACTCAGAAACACATCGCTGACAGAGCAACCGGACTGTGTCACCTTCACAGCGGAAACAACCGCCAGAGCTTCCCCCCCAGGGCCGTGGGGAACCCCACACAGTGCTCAGGGGAGGGAAGGGCAAACAGACCCCAGCTGCTCTCTCTTCCCGGGATAAGCAGTTTAAAAGTTTACCATTTTACAGTAACTGCTGAGGGGCCCCAGGAGCTGTTTGCAAACTCTTTCTTCCTTTCCTATTTACCCCCTTCCTGTCCTCGAGGCTGAGCGGCAGGCAGGCTCAGCTCCGGCCACCCTCTCCCCGTGTAACGGCACTGACCATGCAGTCAGTCCTCCCGCCCCCAAACCCGCCATTTCTCCTGGGGCCCTCCCCCAGAAAGGACCCCCAGAAGTCATGGTTTGTTTACCACCCCCAACTACTTGCTGAAGACGGTGTGCTGTGCCCTGCGTGGTGGTTCCCACGGGCTCCCTAGGGGGACTCAGATAGGGACCAAAACCATCGGGCTACAAGCACCGTCATCAAACCATCGCCATCGGGCTACATGCACCGTCATGGATGAGACAAGGTGAGCGCCATGGGAAGCAGGAACAGGGGCTCTGACAGCTTCCCGCTCGATGCGTCCCTTGAGACTGACGAGGAACAGGCATACAGTACTAGCA